TGTGTGTGTGTGTGTGTGTGTGTGTGTAGTGTGTGTGTGTGTGTGTGTGTGTGTGTGTGTGTGTGTGTGTGTGTGTGTGTGTGTGTGTGTATGTGTGTGTGTGTAAAAACTGCGACCCACGGGCGCATATGCATATCTAGGCGCACATATAGCCCACCTTCCCAATCGCTGCGATAATTAACATCGAAGAAATATTCGCTGAGCTCCGCAGCAGTCACGCCATTGATCACTGTATGGGCCTGTTGTGGGATGTCAACCAATGTCATGTCAAGTGACGACGTGTCAACTGTCATGTCAAACATCGTTGTGTCAAATAAGGTGTCATCACCACTTGATTAGATCATGTGGACGCCCGCATTCCTATTGCTGAGCGACTACAAAGAACAGCTGTATCACAATGGAGATTCACCCCACAACACCAAAGAGTTGGAGCGCAAAAGTGCGCCAATAATTGCTAATAGTCTGTTGGGCTGTGTGTATATATATAGAATGCGAGAACATGAACACCCTCGCGTACTTCCACGTGATCTGTATTGATATGCATGCATATGTGTGATACACGCACATAGCTGTGTACAATGCGTGCGAGACATGCAAGAAGTCATAGATGACCACCTCTATACCCTCAGTCATACACACGAACAAGAGGTATACGCAAGCACGAATTAAGAGAAGTATAAGTATCTAAGCCAACACAACCATATATGCTGATACACAATATCACACCCGTTCAATGGAGGGAAGCACAAGAGATCGTAACCTCGAAGATCAATACAATACACAGTGACTAAATGTCTTCAGACAGGCATGTACTACATGTACACTAGCAGCCGCACAAAGAACCAAAGATAACATATAGTTCTCATACATCCACTATATACACCAATAATTCTCTCACAGCACCTTAACAAAGTCGTCGATCTGATCATCGGCCACCTCGACGTCGTGTCTGTGCACTGAGACTGTGTTTGTCTGTCTGACCACTTCCCAGTCGCTGCCCGTGGGACTGTCCTCTGCGCGGGCGGCTAATATCCTATCCACGCGCTTGTTGGTTTGTCTGATAAATGCTAGTTTCTGAAAAGGATCAACAGGTAATAATTAGATGATTAGCTCTAGTATACCTCCTGCAGGATTGCTTCAGTATCAGGGAAAACCCCCGGTCAATACATAGTTAGCATTTGCCGGATAAATGCTTGCTTCTGCGATCGATCGACAGGCGTGAGGGTTGGTTATAGTATGTCTTGTGCAGGAGTGTTTCTGTATACCAAGGCGCCGAAGTGACTATGTAGATAGCATTTGAAGGATAAATGCTCGTTTCTGAACTGCGAGCATCAACGAGATGTAATGCAAGTTGTATGTGTTGTGTAGCTTTGATACATGTACATATATACTTCCATTGAGTTGTGGGTTATTTTTTGTCAAGTGGTGACAATCTGCATCATTAGTAAGTGTTATTTTCTTTGTTACATATGCATACCTATACACTTCTATTAAGTCGTGAGGATTCCCCTGTATGAGGCTGGTGATAGTAATCTATATGATTAAAAGGTGATGTGTCGCTTTGTTTATACATGTATACCTCCATAGGGTCGTGGGGTTTTTCATGTGTTGTCTGGTGATAGTCTCCTGCGTCGACTAATCAGCCGTTTCTATATTTCGTATAGGTACTGTTTTGTGTTGTGTTGTGATGATACATGAACATATACATATATATATTTACATATATATATATATATATATATATATATTGTATATTATACACACACACACAC